TCTGGCAAAGCCACAGTGTTAATGATATGAAAAGTAAATAAGCACGAAGATAATATAAAGATGCTGAGTTGGGCAGGAAATGATTTCTAATATGAAGTAAGTTTCTCTTTTATTAATATTCACTCCACCAAAATGGATGAATTTAAATGCTGTTATGTGCCCTTACTCATTGCTGTTTACAGAATATTAGTTTAAATGCAAAATTCATTTAATTCTGGCTAGGTCAGAAATTGTGGTAATGAACAAGGTCAACCATTTTCTTTAAGAGGAATAAATGCTAATTTACAGAATAAAATTACTTTCTTTTTGTGATTTCATGCAGGCATAAAAAAAAGTCATGACCCTGTGCAGGCTCAAGTGAAAAGTTAGATTCCCTGAAAGCTTAATTTAAAGTCATGACAATTCCTTGTGCTCTACAGAATCTGTCACTGCTACGAAACAAGACCCTATTTAATACCCACTCACTTCAATTCTCAGCAATAAAAGTTTCAGATGAAATTTCAGATGAAAAAATTAATTATTTGATTAACTGGTAAAATGTGGTGGTATAAATAATACCAGATAATCAGATAATTTCCTTTTCCCGCTGATAAATTCTTGATAAAGTTACTTTAGTACCAATTGTCTACAAATAGTTTTGATTAGGGCCTCCATATTTTCAGTCAGTGGTTCCACTTTGAATTGCTGTACAATGAATAAATATGATTTAAAACTTGTAATGAGAATGTCACACATATAAACAATTGTTTAATTCACAAAATAGATGATGAAGCTGGCTAGGTGTGTCATAGTTCAACTTTTTAAAGTGGTCAAGTTGCTTATCTTGCCTTTACAAACAGAGAAATGGCAGCTTGATTTATTTTTTTAAATAAATATCTTCAGCATATTTTGTAATATAACCTAAAGTTAAAGAATTCTTTAAATCTGCTAGCTTATAATATCATGCAGTCTAATTACATCCATTCTCAAAGGGTTTGATTCAAAGCTTTGAAACTAATACCAATCAGTTTCTTCATTATTTCTTAATAAACTACAGTGCGATCAGTGGGTTCTGTGGGACACTTCTGTGTCTTCTGCATCCACCGTAGAGAATGCACTGGAAGCCAGGTCGATGTCTAATTTGGGGGCATGGCATGACAAGTTAATGCAGGCAAGAAAACCACAGAAACTCAACTGGTGAATGAAAAAGTTGGGAGTGGAATTAGGAGTGTAGTTTTGTAACGGAGCTTCCATTTCGGGGCCGTGGTGCCAGTGTGCTCACTGACTAACTTTAACCCTGGCAGAGAGTCTGACAGCTCTGCCTGGCCATGGGGAATGAGAGAAAGGCCTCCCAAAACTGTTCTTCAGATCTCTCACTGAGGAAGTGGTATGTTTATTTCTACAGGAGTATGCTATATTTAAAGTTGTAATAAAGTTCTTTCAGTTTTACTCTTTCACTCTTTCAGTGTAAAAGAGAAGAAAAACATTCAAATTAGGACTTTGTCCAGTAAAGCAGGAGATCTCTGATTTTAGCATCTGTTTTTAGAGCTCTGATTTTCTGGTTTTAGCAGTGACACATATTTTGAAGGTACACAAGCAAACCAGCAAATTATTCATTGCCTGTGCCAATTTCTCAGCTATGAAATAAGTTCAGTAGTGCAGGCAGAGTAGCAAAATGCCACATGATAGGTGTCTATTTTATGGTGATGGTGAAAAGAAATAGGAAACAAAATTAACTGTGATATGCAAGTAAAGACTGAAAGAATGCCACTGGGGACACTACAATGGAAAAGGACAATCAATTGGAGAAGAGAATACAAAGGAAGAGAAATATGAAGTAAAAAGCAACAAGAAGCAGGTGGGAAACAGCCTGGTACTTTGATACAGATACTAATTTACAGTAAAGGTAAGTATGAAGTCTTATTAAATACACAACTATAATGCAAAAGAATACTCTTACAAAACTTGTTTTGTCCAGATGCCTGTACTCCCAAGTCCCCATAAATGTAGTTAAGTTATATCTCCGTTTAAAGGCCAGAAGGGCTCTCCTAGTCTGACTTCTCTTCCATATACAGAGAGCATCTCATCCAGCATTCACTGTGTGAAGCACAGTAACTGTGCAAAAGGAAATACCTGCCAATTTTTAAGAATCTACATTTCTCCCATATTCTCTGCACCTTCTTGGAATATCCAAAGCTTTAATTTATTGAAAGCACTGAGTACAGTTTCTTCTTTCATGTGGGTAGAGAGCAGTCGGTGTGTCCTTAGAAGAGTTGCCAAGAACTAAACTGACTTTGAGACTGAGCTGCTCCAGTTTTCAGTTTAGGCCCAAACCTTTGTAGCTGTTATTTTCTTCATTTAACACGAGCATTCAGTGATAACCTGTGAATCCAATTACAGCGTCTTACTCAGAGGTTTTCTGTTTTCTTAATTTCTTTACAAACAACAAAAATGTTCCCTTAAAAATGTAAAACACCTTTTAATTTATGAATTCATTTGAAGAGATGCCATCATTCCACTCACTACCCTTGTGTTAAATTAGTACTTTTCAATTCATAGACTTCATTAATGAGCCTCAAGGATTTTGTTCCTTCCCTGCACATAATAGGACTTCCTACCTTCCTTTCTATCCTAAACAGAAAAGTGAAATCATTGCCAGTGTTTAGGCTCTAGGCAGTTTTTGGCCTCAAGTTTTATTCTCACAGTTTTTTCTCCCCCCAGTGCAGAGGCAGTGGTTATGCCTGTGGTGATGTGACGTGCTGGTGCCTGTGTGTGCAGGAACCTCTCCTTGCCAGGGAGGCTCTGCCTGGGCACCAAGCGCAGGAGTGTTGACTGCACTGTGAGCTGAGACCGAGCCCAGTACCACAGGGCGGTGTTCCTTCTCCTGCACAACCGCCTGGAACACAGGCATTCCCATCATCCATGGGTTTTGACCATCATTTAACCCCGGGGCTTCTTAAAGTTGGAAGAAGGGAATTCATGAGCGGGTGACAGTATTGTGTCCTCAGTTTAATTTTGGACATAGAACCATGTTTTGAGGTTTGAAAAGGAGCCTTCTTCCCTCAAGTTTGCTTCCTGTTGATTTTACTCCTTTTGCTACTTCAGCTGCTGAAGCCAGGGTAGCTAACTTCCTACAGTCTTCTTGGGATTATGATATTGCCCCCCAAAAACTAATTTATATTAGTAAAAATTATAGAAGCCAATGGATTGCTTATCACCAGATGTTCAACTTTTGACGTGTTTGCATTTACACCAGTCTCTGATATTCTGATATAGTTCATTTGGAGTTAAGAGTAATTTATTTATTGAATTCTACTCCAGTTTGGTGGATCATAATAAAGGGAAAAATACTGATCTGCATTAAGAAATACAAGTATATGACTCTTCTGCTTATGTTCCAGTGAAGACAGTGAAGAACACTCAGGACTGAAAGAATCAAACAGGAGGCTACAAATCCCAAGAACTTATCTAGATTTTTATTTATAAAATCTTATAAGCTAAGAGGGAATCCAAATGCTCTGCTGACTTCCAGGGGCATGCATTAAGCGTTTAGCAGATATTACATTCAGAGCACTTTCTTGTGTAAAAAGGATTCTTTTGTTTGTGAGATTTTTCAGCTATTAGATGGAAAATATATGCCCTTTATAATATGCCCTTCTCTAGTGCCTGAAATTGTTGTTGGAACTTGCATTCATTCTCATATTCAAAATGATGTAATGAGAAAACGGCTAATGTGCTTAGTTTTTAAAGGAACTAACATGGAAAGTCTTGGAACACAAATTTTGGTAATTAACATGTTGCTGACAGAAGCTATTTGTGTGTTGATGGCAAGCTGTTCCTGTACTGTATTTTATGTGCAGATGAAACTGCATGTAGGTACCTTCAGAGCTGAAACATGCCTGATATGGAGCACTTTCCTATCTTTTGGTAAAGTGCCTGAAGGGCAGGATTGAAGAGAAATTGCTTGGGTATGGATACTGACCTTCAAGGGTAAATCTCACCTAGAAGGACAATTTATACCCTCTTTTAGGAGACTGTGTTGTGAGTTGTTTCTTTTGCAGGGTAATGTGATGGAGCACGATGCTGCTGCTGAAGCTGAGATATCCCTTAGGTGTCTATTGAATCCATTAGGCTCTGAAAATTGCAGCTCACTGATTATTGACTTACTCTGCAACAGTTTAGTGTGTGTGTGTGGAGCTTTTGCTATTAAAAAGCTCTGGTGATTCCACATTAGAAAGTAATTTTCCATATGGCTTACCGGGAATTTAGGCACATAAACAGATATTCAGTAGTGATAATTAATGTAGTTTATTGAACAGGTTTCAGATTAGGGACATAATTTTCAGAGCTTTGTCAGTTTCTGTCTGAACATAGTGTTTATGTGCCTGGGAATTTGACTTTTCCTCTTGTATTTTATTTTCCTTTGTTCTCCATTTGGATGATAAAAGGTAAATGCAAAGGTAGGATTGTGCTGATGCAGTGGAAACATACTTCATTGCAGTTTATAGACAGAACCTCTGCAAGAAATTATGTTTATGTGATCATCTCATCTTGCCGCAGATGTTTTAGATTAAGCTTCTTCCTACACAGTCTGCACAAAGTACATGAGCAGATACTGTAATATGTTGCCTAGAAAATTGATATGGAGCAGAAGGTGCTGTGAAATTACAACGAGCAGTTTAAGTGCAGACGTGGCGATATCCAGTTGTTCGCACTTAAATGTTTATGAGCAGAGGAGGAGCTGGAAACAACAAGGACCTGCTCCATAACCAGGTCTGCTGGGTGTCCTAAGTGGATATAAATATAAATAGCAACATATGGCGTAGGGATTCATTTGTACTCTAAACAGTTCTGCAACATCTTTCTTTTGATAGAAGGAAAACAACAAGCACAGCAAGCTGTGCAAATCTGTCACAGGCAAGGAAAACGCAGCCCCAGCCTCATCTGTTCTGAGCCTCCTCCAAAAGGAGAGGGGGAGGGCCTGCTTGGGAATTGCAGCCGTGCACATCCTGTCCAACATCCTCAGGGAAGCACAGGCCAGCAGGACTGCAGCATCAGGCAGCTCTGAGTCCCTCGGTGCCTCCTGAGCTGAGCAGCAGCAGTGGCACTGTCCCTGATGTGCCCTCTGGGGAACAGCCTGTCACGTCACATCTGGGGGTTTTGTCCTGCGTTTGGCCTTCACGAATTATTTGGGTTTGGAAACTGGTGTTTTTCTCCCCTATAGATTTCCTTTCTCTTTTTCTCCCCTGCTTTTCTTTAGTTTTGATGTTTGTTTTCTTCTGTTTTTCATGCTTTTAGGTAAAATTTGGAGCTTCAAGTTCATCTTTTTTAGTAATTGGGGATGTTCCACTGGTTAATGAAGGTCATGGCTAAGGTTCCAGGATTAGCTATTGTTAAAAGCTGCTGTGCCAAGTTCCTCATAAATAATTCCCAGCAGAATTCTCTTCTAGTGTTTGTCATGCTAACATAATTTCAATTCAGAATTAAAGACAAATGCTATTAGGACTCAATGAAGCAAATGCAGGAAAGGATCATTTAACATAACACTGATAAAACTGGCAGTAGATTACAGGAAATTTCTTGTCTATGCAAGTGTTGTAAATTTCTGCATTTATGACATTTTCTTTTAAATCTGAATGTTTGATACATTCATTTTATGGGTAAACAGACTTTTTTTTTTTTTTTTTTAACATAGGGTAAGGCTCCTCAAAAGAGAAATGCTCTTTTATGTATAATTTTTACAGCCAGATTATGAACTAACAGTATTTTTATATATAATTCTTAACAACAGAGAGAGAATTTTGAAGATATTTGAACACTTAAGAGAAAATATACCATAGTAACTTCATAATACTTTGTTAATTTGTAATGCTTGTTGTGGGCTCAAGCTAATAATTGTGTCTTCACCGAAGATTCATAACGTAGGCAGAGAGTCTGGTAACACAATCTGCATTCCAGTGACTAATATCATCCAAACTCTTCAGTGACTAGTCTCATCCAAAAAAGGTCTGTTCTTTGAAGTCAGCAGATACTGGGTCAGACTTTAAAGGGAATTCATGCATAATTATATTATATAAAAAGGTAAGGTTCCTTTTAATTTTTATATGAATACCTCAATGACCAACACCATGGATCCCTTTTATTTTTTTTGGGTGGGGTGGGGCAGGGGGAGGGAATAAGAGATAAAAGTATACCTAGTGGGGGAAAAGGATTTCCACCATATGAAACATTTCAAGGTTTCTACATCCCTTTTAAATATGAACCAGTGTGAAAAAAATTTGGATTTTCAGTATCTGAAATGCAATTTGGAAAATGCTCTCAAGCTTGAAATAGCTCATTTAAGAAACTTTAATGCCTTTTTTTGACTCTGCTTTAATATGAAGTATATTTCAATTTTTTTATTTTTACTCTATTAAATCCTAGGAATTGGTCTGTATCAAAAGAGATATAAGCACGCATTTGAAGAAGTGCTTAATAGTTCTTCATATGACAGCTCTGGCTTTCTCAGTAGCAGCTTGTGCTAAACATTCTGGTTAAGCTGACACAGAGAAACATAACGGCACCTGTCATAGGAGCAAGAAGTTCTTCTGGTGCTCCTGAAATATCCCTTCCTGGCTACAATTTTTAGAGGAGCCGTGCAACAACTGCCACTGCTTCTTCACCTCATCAGACAGGACTCCTCATCTCCCATGAAGCAGCCTGTAAAAGCCTGTGAGTATTATGGGCCAGGATGCAGATGCTGCTCTTTCATGGAAAGATTTATGCTGGCAGAACTCACTTGGATACCTTTGAAGAAAAGCAGCTGGAAAAACAAGGCGTCTAGGTGAATTCTTGAATTTCTTCCAGAGACAAAGTGACCCAGACTGATAATCCGTGCATTCCTACAGTGGCAGGAAAATGCATACATATGGCTCAGCAATAATTCCCTCTCCCAGCTTTACGTATTTTTTCCTTCTATTCAGACTCATAGGTGATACTGTTAAACAGGCACAAGACTTTGATCTTTCCCAGAGTCTAAAGGTTTCAAACTGTAAATCCTAAGAATGCTGCAAAAGTCATTAAATGCAATACTGAAGAGGTTCTTCAAATCAAAACATTTTGAGGTTCTACTTTAAAGAATTCTCAAGCTGTTATCACTTGCACGTAATCCTTTTTAATTGTGCTTCCAATTGCTCATGAAAATTCAAATTCAGAACAGGTATTTTTTGCCTCACCTAGCTTTAACCGTTCCCTTAGTAATATCTATGCAAAATATTAATTACTAAATTGAATTTGCAAACATTTAAAAAATGGTTTCCTTCTCTCTTTGAAAGCATTTAATTCACAGCACAATTTCATTCATCAAAAGTATTGAAACATCTCAGGATACCTGCATATTTATTTTTTCCCTTGGCTCCCAGCTGAGACACTAAATCTTATGCTTTCTTTGCAGACTTTTTGCTGCTCTGTGGAGCAGTCAGGCTGAGAAACCTCTGCAGTCCTCTGGGGTTAAGGAAGATGGTGTGAAAAAGAAGCCACAGAAGGAACACCTGTGCAACTAGCAGGAGAAAATATTGTTTTGGGAATAGAAGAATTAATTGCTGGCTGTTGTGGCTGTGTGGAAAATTAGGTCACCCTAATTTTTCATACTATTTTAAGACCAGGTAACTAATCACAAAGCAGTAGTGTAATAAGGTCAGAGAGTTTTTGTGGGGCTGTTAGACAAGTCATAGACACCTGTACAAGTGGGAGAGCTCCCAGGATGTGTGAGCTCAGCAAGGGTTTTGCTCAATATCCTACCATTTCAACACTTCATTTTGTGCTTTTTCTGATTAATCACAAAATCTCATCCAGCTGACTTCCAAAGCCAACTGTATCAGGTAGTCCTCTGTTTGTTCCTTAAACACAGAGCCTCTCCCTGTCCCTCTCCAATGGAAATTCTCCGAGAAATGTCTGATGTGAACCATGCCAAGGTCCTACCAGGCTGAATTTCTTGCTACAATTTTAGTATTTCTCTGGATTTGACTTGTTCCTTATAATGACAATACAAAACCTCTGCCCTGCCTTTTCTCCTTGACATGTAGAAGTTTGAACACTACTGTATCTTACTGGATTATTTTCTCCTTCTTTTTTTTTTTTCTTTATCTTTTCTTCTTTTTTTTAATGCTGTTTTGACAGCCAGTCTATTTTTTTACCTCCTTTTGAAGAAGCTACTCAAAAGGGCAGGAGCACATGAGCTAACTTCAGGGATGGTAAAGGAAAGGTATTTTTAGAATATGGGGAACACAAAAAAGAAATGGTTTATTTATTGTAAAAAGCTGGAGGTCCTTAGCTTTGAGGCAGGCTGGTGGCATGTCTGCCACACTTATGACGGACACTTCAAAGTGCAGAGATGTTCTACAGCACTTCAAGGAATTTCCCACTCTGCAAATAATGCTGCAGAAGAAACACTCAAGTACAAGCAGCACATTGCAGAAAATCCAGGTGGGATGTTTAACAAACTTCCAGTTTTATGAAGTAGGGGAATTCCATTAGGAGTGTGGACTATTTGCTTTAACACAATCATTCATTGGGATAAGACAAGTAGAACTTGCTCTGTAGGTTTGTAATTGCTGAAATTAATGTGTGGCTCATCACTCTCTGCAGTACTATACCAATTTACTGTGCTCTTTTATCTCAATTACTTTCTGTGTGTGTCTTATATTTCTCTATTAAACTTCAGTAATTGTAACACTGTGGTAATAACATTGACATACTGAGTATCATATGATGGGCTATTTTACATTATTCTGACTGCCTTATTTACATTATAATTATTAGTGTCTATATAAATGTGATTCATTGAACTAATAAAGATTTCAGACAACTGCCATAGCTCATTGATTTTTTTTCTGGGCAGAAATTTGCCTTGCACTCTTAGTTGGATTTTCCTTCAATTTCAAGGTTGGCATTTGGGCAATAAAGACCTTCCACTTTAGCCCCACAGAAATGATATTTAATACCTCATTTTATCTTGATTTTGTCAGACTGACAAAGCAAATGGGAAGTACCAAAGTCTTATTTTCTCAACTGATCTGTTATTTTCTTCAGAAGTACTGCCAAAAGCACCCTTCTCACGCATCCTGAAGAACTGATGACCAAATCATGATTTTTTGAGATTAAGCAGTTAGCACTCTGAAATCTTAGTGTGGTTCATTAGCCATGCAATTCTCCCCCAGAGGAATTTGGGCAATGCCTTTTGAATGGCACAGTTGCTTCAGCCTTTCTCTATCTGCAGAGCTGAATGAGTTCATGCCTCATATGCTGTGTACCCTGTGTGTCCTACAGGGACCAAGTCTGCAGCCAGTCCTACCACAATTTAAATGTCAGTTAAGAATGTGGTAAATGAAGATAAAATGTAATCCAGATTGTAACCTCATGCTGCTCAGGTCTTCTTCATTCACTGGGGTTTTAGCAAATCCTTCAAACTCCATCTAGCACACCCCCAGCTTATAGCTTTTAAAACTACACATAGTAGATTTCGTGATAATAAGAAGATTGAGATAAATAACAACTAGCAAAGAGATAGGTAAATATGGACTGTGAAAAGTTTAATCTATTTATGGTTCTCCTCCTGTGCCCTGGTCTAAGACAACTCAGTTGCCAGCCATTTCATAGGAGATTGAGATTTGTCCCTGGTGGAATGCAGTTGTTTCCAGTTGCTTTTCTTTCCAAACAACAGTGATAAGAGGGATTTCACTCCATCTCTCTTATTTCTCTGAGCATTTGTTGACAGTAAGCTGTGTACAGAACTGTGGGTTGGGATAATAGTAAGTTTTAATTTTTTAAGTTTTTAATATTGTGTGTTGGCCCTTTGTCCTTGGCATACATTGATTTCTTTTTCCCTGGGGTGACCTTCATATCCTGGCTGTGTTGAGCACGAAGGGTATTTATTTCAGACTCCTTCCCTGTGAGTTTAACTAATTCCTGCTGATGCTACCAGAAATTACAGAAGAACCACTGTGTCAGGAGATCCCAAATTGCAATGCCTGTGGGTCAGAGATCCCAGTGCTGCGATTTCAAGTGGCGTTAGAACCCACTTTTGAAGCTTTCAGTTTTCCAGTGTCTGACTTACATTTCAGGTATTTATTCCAGCTGCTGTTTATTCCACTCATAGCCTGGGACACCACCTGCTGGGTAACACCTCTGTGAAATGTTTATCTCACTGTAATCACTAGTGTTTGTAAGGGATAAAGGACAACATAATTTAATGAGGAATAGAATTTAGAACCATCAAAGGTCTGTGTTAAGTTTTTGCTTTTTTGGGGGTTTGATACTTTGTCATTAGTGGCACATATTTTCTGCTCTGTTTATTGGTGCAGTACCTATGCAGTTACACTCCCTTATAGCTTCTTCTAACTCACCATGTGGGGAAAACCTGCAAAAAGGATCTTTGCACAGACAGTGACTAGTAAACTTTACTGTAGAAGAGATTACCCCCTGCTATAGTAATATCGAGATGCAAAGCCTTGTTATTAATGCAGACAGTTCTGAATGGTGGAGCAAACAGTAAGAAAAATGGCTTTCAAAGCAATTATTTTGCAGACCAGGGAATAACTGTGGTATACAGAGCTGATTTATCTCTGTTTCTTTTCTGTCCATAGCACATTAATGCAGTACTTTTGGTATCTTCTCAGTGGAAAGAAAAATGAACAAAATAAGAAATTACTCAGCAGCCACAGGGAACTGGTATCTAGGTCTGGAACTCTAATTATACTCTAGGCTTAAATGATTTGCATTTTTACTGTAAAGTAGATTGTGGACAAAAGGTTAAAATCTAAATCCAAAGTAATACAGACCCTCTTTTTCAGGTTTTGATCCAAGAATCTGTGTTTGTGGCTGTGTAAGGACTGCATAGTCATTCCCAGACTACAATGGAAAGGAATGGGAAACAATATAGCTCCTGAAATGTTAGCTTCTAGATAGGAAAATGCCACAGATCTTCAGTTAAATCAAAGAGGAGAAACATAATTTGACCCCTTTTTGTAGTGCCCCAAAGGGATATGAGGTATAACTGTAATGATATTATGAACAGAAGACTCTCAAAAGGTCTGGATTGTTTGAAAGGCCAGTAACCAGGGAGCTGGTAAAATCCACCACAGAATATTAATCAGATTTCCAATGCTCTTTGCTACCATCTGGCCAGAAAACAGGCAAGATTCTGATAGAAATGCTTCTTTTTCAAGGGCCTACTGGTCCTTGAAAAAGAAGCTGTTGATTACTCAGTAATTCAACTCAAAGTTGCTTCTATTTCTCCCAGGTGATTCAAACAAGGTGGAATAAATCTGCCCCTCTTGCAACCAAAGAGATTTGTTGTGCACTGTAAACTGCCGTGAAGCTCTCCAGAAGAGAATGAATAAAGCAAATCTGTACAAAAGCCAGTGCTCCCTAAGGATTTATTCTCTCCACATTTAAATATCCTCTTTCCATAGTGCTATCTAGTGCCATATGCAGCCCACCCATGAGTAAATATCAGGCTGTTGCACCAAGACCTGTCAGTTCTGGGGTCCCAAAAGCTGCTGCTCTCAAGGCTTCTCCATTACCGTCCATCCTGAGCTATAAATCAAGAAAGGTGCACATCCCACTTCTTCACAAGCTCAGATAAGGAAATCAATTTTACTTCATGAAAGACAAAACTACTGCTCTGGATGATTAATGAATAATTCCAATCACTTTATAGCAAAAGAGTCTCAGTGATTGATCCCAAACCAGACAAAAGCCTTGTCCTGCATCACAAAGCTGGGATTCTGTACAAAGGGAAAAAGAGAAGGATATGTAGTTTGTGCATGTCACTAAAGTGTTACACATCCAATATAAGTAGCAGTTTATGAAGGAAAGTTCCAGAAATAGAAACAACCAGTCCCTGGTGAACTGAAGGATAAAAGCTGGAATGCTTATCCAGTGCAAGGATCTTACTTGCTTTGCTTCCATAGTCTTTCACAAGCACTAAACCAAGCCCTAAACAAACATTTACCACACTTGAGCAAGATACTTAAGTAGATTCTCTGATTATATCTGACAATTATTTTTATCTAGACTATTTTTCTGTGACGATAAACTGCAATTACCTGCAAAATTTAAAATACATTGACAATGTAATTATATTGCAGGTATTGCTGCAGTGTTGATATTGTCCTTCTGAACAAAGTGATCTTTCAGAACTGTTCATCTGAATGTCTCTTTTAAATAAAATAATTAAAGAAATTCATGCAAAACAATAATTTAAATAAACATTTTACCGGAATGCCATTGGGTCGTCACCTTCATGTTTAAAAATATGCATTAAAGCCAGAACATCAGAGTAATGCAATTAAGATATGGCTTGCAAATGGAGCATCTATAAGTCATATTTCAGAAAAAAAAACCCTAAAGAAGAACCTCTAATTTGCACTAGAAGTAAACCTTAGCTGTTGTTTGCCTGTGCTAATTTGGTTTGTTGGTATTTACTTAAGTCTGAAGTGTTCAGATCCAAATCCTAACTTCCCCACAATTGAGAGTATTGCTTTGTTCTAGAGCTTTTCATGTATTTGCCACATCAGACAGTTTTCCTTTGAAGTTTCCTCCTGCTAAACTCATCTTGTGAAGACAGTTTCGCCCTCTATCACCCTGTGAATCTCGTAGGCAAAATTTTTACCATCATCTTGAAATGCCAGCAAATATTTAAGGCATGGAAGAAAATATTTGTATAAGGGAATGTGCTGGAGAACTCCTTTCTCATGTTAAAAAGATGCTATGGTTTATTATAGATGTACCATACCTTTAAGTCATAACTGGTAACAAACTTGATTTTGTTCCTGTGAAAAATAGGTTGATTCTGTTAATTCTGTGTATTACTTTATCATGGGCTTGTTCTCTTGTGAGTACTGAAAAGGCTGTGTGGACTATTTCCTGGAACCACATGGGTGCTATGACTCCTCACTTTCCCTGTTTTTCCTTTCAGAGGGGGAGAGCATACTGTGAGTTATGGGACAGGTGTGAGAGAGCATGTGTCCAAATGCTGTGGCTTAGAGCACAAGTGACCACATGGATCTGATCAGATTTAGGTGGTTTAAAGACCATTCATCACTTAGGGCCTTGCTCTGATGCTGCTGCAGCTTGAATAAATGGGAGGATGGCAGGAGAAGAGAGGAGAATAAAGGCACTGTGGTTGATCTGAGTCAATGTCTAAGGGTAAACAAAACTCTTGTGCCTGGGAGGATACCTTAGGCCACATTTTGCCTGGAGCATGCCAGGCAGCTGAGGAGCAAGATAGAATCTAAAAAGCCACACCAGGCTTCCTGGAGGTATCCAGCGTGCTTGGGGTTCCATTTACCACACACTGTATTTAGCTTTGATGGCTTTAAATAACAACCTGTTTGAAATCTCAGTGGGCTGTAGGGTTTCAAAACCAAAATGCCAGAGGAAAGAGAAAAACTGGGAGGGTTCTCCTTCTACTCCTGTGCTTGTTGCTGCGTCTGAGCAATTTTAGGTCTCAGCTCTAAAACCTCACTGATGCTTTGCTGAAGGATTGTTTACTTGTTGAAGGATTGCTTGTTAAATATAATCACTGATAAATATCAAGAAACATTTTCATTAATTTAATGAGAAAACACCATTACACATTTCAATATTTTAGAAACTGGGCTTTCCATATGGAATGCCTAGCTGTGTATGAAAAGTTACAAGGATAAGAATTGATTTGGAAGCTGAACCAGTATGTGTGAGAAGTGAATTGATGATGGGCTTCTAGTGTGTCACCTCACATGAAACATCTGGGGTTTGCAATCCTCCTGTTGGCACAGAGTTATTATCCCTAGCTGCTCTTTCTGTCAGGATAT